GTGTAGGGAGCCTGCAAGGAGGGACCCTTGCCTGGATGTTATTTCAGTGGTAGGTAAGTCTCAGCTCAAGCTGAGAAGGAGCAAGGCGTCAGGCTTGGGGGAAAAGAGCATGGCTGGAGGGACCCTGGGAGCAAACCTGACTTAAGGGGACCCATCCCCTGGCATAAAAATACTGTGTGGTGTAAAGAAGCTTGTGTGTGAGTATTGCTGCTGCTGGCACTGAGGGTGTGCGTGCGTACCACGGAGTGTTTTGTTCAGCAGTCAGCTAACAGGAGCTAATGGCCAATGCAGTGTGTGGCCCCGTAGAGAAGGACCTGCCCTCCTGCCCCAGGGCTCTGTGAGCCCCCAGCCGTGCACAACCTTCCTTCGTGGGCTGCCCATTGTACCAAAAGCCCAGGTGGCCGGTGGGGTTTGAGGAGCTGCCTGATACATGCAGCATCCAGACTTCTCCTGTGCTGGTTTCCAGCTAGTGCTGCTGGTGCACCCGTTGTTTTCCTGGTTGCTGGTGCGACAAGTTTGCAGGAGAGAGTAAAATCTATTGCGCAGGCATCGCCCTGTGCAGGTACCTGCAAAGCTCTGGCACATTCGGACTGGTGACCATAAGCAGTGAGAGGCATTAAAAATGGGCAAAGGGAAGGGGGAAGCAAGGGGATTCCATTCCCCCTCCTCAATAGGAAGTTGGAGGATGCCTTGTCCTCTCGTGCCTTTCCCTAGCCTCCAGCTGGGCCCCTCCAGTGGCCCTTCTCACGCTGCAGGGTGCTGTGATCCCGGTCATGGGGAGCAGTCGGTCCCCTCGTGTCCCAGCTGGAGTTGGGGCTGGAGCATTTTTCTTGCCCTTGGGTCACCTTTCCCACTGCCGGATAACGTGCAAGGCGGCGTTTGGCCGTGGCGGTGCTCAAAGGGTGCATAGTTTGTTCCTGTCTCCAGTGGCGCCTGCAAGGTGTTACCAGTCAGCTCCCGGGGAGCAGAGGAAACCCCCGAGTCCACAGGCACCAGGCAGCCGATCAACAAGAAGATCAGGGGACAGAAACTCTTCGCATGGCTCCCAGGGCTCCTCCCTGAGCCACACGAGGCCCTGATGCGGTTTGGGGTAATTTCTTTTTCGGTCTTTGCCGGAGACAGCGCGTTTAGCAGAGACCTTGAACCTTCCCAGTTTGTTGGCTATCTGCACTCGCATACTCACCCAGAACTAGATTTTAAATAAGTTTTGTCTTTTTTAAACCACTCTTCTCAGGGAAAGTTTATTAGTGGATAACATTGGCGATGTTTTCAGCTGCTGAGATTTTGCCCCATTTTGGTTTTTACAGAGATTTAGGCTTTTAACAGTTCCTAGAGGCAGACTAAAGGAGGGAAGGGAACGCTGGGGTGTTGTTCAGTTTGGTTGACTTTTTTTTTCTCCCCTCTCCCCGGTTTTTACAACCTCTTCAAACCCGAAGCCCCGTTACCTGCAGCGGGAAGGGCTGCGCGCCGGAGGCACGGGCATGTGCTGCGCTCTAGCGGCCGGAGGGGTGCTCGCTGCCACTTGCTCAGGGAGAACAAATCGTGACATAACCCGTGATGGTGCTGGTACTTCTCCTCCACTGTAGTATTTGGAGTTAAAAATGGTGGGAAAACACCGGTAAGAGGAGGAAGCAGTCCCCTCGCAGATCTCCCAAGCAGATGTGCGGTGTGAGTGCGCGCATGTAGGAGAAGCTGGCAGGGGATGCTCTGGCTGGAAAGACGGCAGGAGCACATAAGGTTGGTGGCTGGATGGCTGCCATCGCTAGAGCAACCCATCTCCTCCAGCTTGGCACAGTCAGCATTCAAAATAGGATCTCTGTTACCGGCAAAGAGATCGTCGCCCTAGGTGAGACTAGTAGCTCCTTCATTCCATCAGCTATGGCGAGGAGTAACTTGGCTGAGGTTGAATCCAAAGACTAAGGGAATGTTTCACAGTTTTATTATTTATTGCAATCTTCCAATTTACTCTCCAAACAACCCAGATGAATTGGCTGACCCAACAGGGTAAGGCCAAAGTGCTGACTGCTTCTTTGGTCTTTCATCAGGGTGTCATCGAAACTCACATTCTCGATGCAGGTGCTATGGAGATAGGGAGGCTGGTTTATCCTGTTTTGGCCACTGTAAGTTTCAGGCAAGCTGGAGGCAGGTCAAAATGAGTCATGAGCATTATAACCAAAAAACAGGTTGTTTCAAAGCACTGCTTCTACTCTTGGCTTCAGATTTTCTGCCAGTGGTTGCCACAGGTGGCAAGTAGGTACGTGTGCATGTGCAAGCACAAGTGCAAGACGTTGAGAGAGAGGTGGGGTATACGCGACTTCTCCCCCTGCTTGGCTTGCAGTTGCGAGTGAGATGAGGCTTATTTTAGGGAAGAGGTATGTACCTCACAGGGCACGCTGGGCCCCGAGGCTGGTACAAGTCAATTTTAATTCTACGCATCCTATTTGTTCACAACCAATTGTACAGAAACAGTGTGCGGGACAGATACATGATTTTTCTCACCTTCTTTAAGATGAAGAAGCGAATACAGTGTGTGATGGCATGTACGGAGGCTGATCTGCTGCAGCCATCAGTTTTGCCTGAGAATCGTCTGTGCTCTTTTTCTGCAGGTTCCCCTGTTTGTTCCTGTCTCTTTTACCGTCATCTGCCTCTTCACTGTAGCCATGTCTTTCTACTCAGACCCTGTGAACATTAGCATTGGATGCACCATGGTTTTGAGTGGTTTTCCAGTTTACTACCTCATAATCCATAGGCAAATGTCAAGTCGTTGCCGTAGCCCATTTTGTAAGTATGTGTTTGCATTTCAGTATTGTGGACCTACACACACTCCAGTATTGTGGACCTACACACACTCGGGGTGGGGATGTTGATTTGTTCCCAGGGCTTATCTCTAACGCAAATTGCTTCATGACCCACAGACCTCATGAAACTTAAATCATGACCCCTGCCACCCCTTCAGTGGCTTTCCCAAGACGCAGCCTCCGCAGCCGAAGGGACGAGGGGTAGGCTGTGCTGCGGGTGGTGGGCAGCCAGGCATGGGCTGTGCCCGCCTGGCTTGTGAATTTACTAATAAGCCAGCCTGAGACTTTGTTTTAGAAAAGACAGGGCTGAGGTCTACCAACCGGGGGAACCAAGAGGGTCGCTTTTACTATCCAGCCCTGGTTTCTACTAAACTTTATCATATCTTTTTGGGATCGCCACCTCACAGTCAAATTTGGTTGACACTGAGCAACAAGATCAAAAGTTAGGACGGAGAGACTGACTGGCAGACACTGTAAACCTGTGCACCAGCGTACTTGCTGAAAGGCCAGGGAGAAGACTGGTAGGAGAAGATGGTGCCACCTGCAGGCTATCTGTTTGGTGAGGAGGCCAGGATGGTTTGGAGCACAGATGTGGGTGTGTAAATGAAATACACCTACACCCCATGCCATGTCTAGAACAGATTTCCTTTGGGAGTAATTCTGGTGTCACAACGATTTACTCAGAAACAAGAGCCCAGTTTTGAGTTCAATTTATAATTTCAGTTATGGAATCTTGTTTTCTTCTGACTGGATGCTGGGCTGAGGTGTATCAGTAACCAGTGACTAGAAGAAAACATCCAGCAAGAAAGGAAACAGATACAGTGATCTGCTAACATGAAGTGCTCCAGCCATCAGTGCTGATGCTCTGATTTTCAGCTGTATCTCAAGATTTCCTCCGGACTAAACTTTCTTCCTTTTTTACCCCCCTTTCAGATTATCTTACACACAAACTACAGTTACTGCTGGAAGTAGTCCAACAAGAAATCAAGACTTACTGAGAAAACCATCAGAACTTATACGGGAAGATAAAATCTACTCACACTGTTTCTGATACCTTTGATCTTACCAAAAGCAGGCCATGCTTTTAATCACTGCAAATGAGGATGAGCCTGAGCCAAAACCCTGCTGCAAGTGTTCCTGCTTGCCGATCGGGATCGGGATGAGCGTGTCACATCTGTTTCTGCCCTTTTCTTCTTTAGCAGAACAGTCTAGTTTTCTGAAATGAGCTTGCTTTGCCTGCACAGTGTCTTCGAAACCAAGATCCTAATTTTGCAGCCTAGCCCAGTCCTCGGTAAAATTTTGTGTGAGTGTGTGTGTGTGTATACACACTATTTTTTTAATTTCCTGTCTTGGCAAATAGAGAACGAGAGCACATTGCAGAACTTAGTCCAATACATGGAAGCCAAACGCAGGTTTCAAACTGAAGCCTTGCAGTAGCCCTGCTGTGGGACAAGCATTATGAGGGGAAATGGGTGGGGAGAGCAAATTAGAAATAAGGTAGATGAATTGGACAGGAGGAGGTGGGGGATAAAACTTCATTCACCAGAAAGTGCAGTTTCAGGTTAATGAGAAGATATTTGAAAACCTGACATAAGGTCAGAATGTTTTGCTGTGATTGTTGTATAAGCACAGTAAGTTTATTTTGCTTTGACATACTGTTTCAATTTTTAATTTTATTTTTCTACAATGACATTTCAAAATGTACAAACAAAAAATCAGCTAAGTATCCACAAGAATATGACAAAATAGATCCTGATTCCTCCCCCAACTCCCCAGCCCCCCTCTTCACCTGGTAGTGCTAGTGAAGCTGAAAATTCAGATTTTGGCCAAACTCCAGTGAAGTACAATTTTTCCTTTAGTTAGACAAAATGACTGATGAGACTTGGGCAGATTCTTTAATAAGTGCATCTTTTGGTGCTGTAAGAAGACATGAAAGACTTCATGTCAGAGCTTTAACTTTAAATCTGCGGCCAAATGACTTGCTGAATCGATACATAAATGCTCATTTGAACTATTGACATAAGAAAGGTTTCCGTTATTGGATTACTTTGGTTTACATTATTAACGTGGCAATGGTATGTCCAGATAAAACAGCAATTAGCTATTTCCAATCACTTAACTGTTAATCTTTTCCTAAAAGATGGGGAGTAGGGTGCTGAGACTCCTCTAATGACTGCTAGGAAAAGGAAGAGCAGAACATGAAATATTTTCAGTCTTTTGCATCAAGTGTTAGTATTTAGAGTGAAACCAAAATAGCCTTTTCAAAACCAATGTAATCTACCCAAACATGTAAAATTCACCATCAGGATTTGGAAATAAAGAAGTGTGGGGGTTTTTTCCAAAGCAATTGAGAATTACTATTCTTATTATGACCGCTTTCTGTTCCTGTACTAATTTAAGCTGGGTGAGCAGCAGTGTGGTTGCAGGGCTCGTTTCCCCCCTCCCCTTCCCACAGTTTAATTTACAAGCTGCTGGATGTTGTCCAACAGGAAATCCAGTCTTACCAGGAAAACCATCACAACCTACAAGAGAAGAGGTACCTGCTTTAAATGATAGTGTGGTTTCAGGTGAGATCTGGAAATGCTTCCAGACTCCCAGACATGGGTCAGTCCCCCCTCATGTCGAGCTTTGCTGAAGCTGAACCTCCCAGCACATCTGCCTGCAGCACCTGCGGCCGGGCCTGGCATGGGTGGCTGTGGGAACCAACCTGCAGAAGACCTTGCAGACCCAGGTGAGTCCCATCACCCCAACATAGCCTGAGTCCACCCCCTTAGGTACCGATTTGGGGGATTTTCCACATCTTGAGGTCGAAGTATGAGGCGCTGCCAGCCTGGTCCCGTGCTGCAGGACCCCGTGAGGGCAGTGTGCCCACGCCGTAGTGTCAGTGATCACGCATCAAACCTTGGAATGGTCTGAAATTGCAATGGAGCTGCTGTGTGTCTGCAGATAGACACACAGAAAAGGTGAAACATCGCTTTTTTTTATGCATTTCCTCTGAAGAGGAAAAGGGAACAAGAATTGAAATTCCTGGGGAAGAAATTCCCGGAAGTAATCCTTCCTGCTGGACCATGGTTTCTTTATACATGATAAATCATTTGATCTACGCAGGGAGACCAAACCTGGGTGCCTCTGCTGACTGTGCAGGAATATGGTCTTGCAGGGCTGTCTATAGGATGTCTGCTCCAAGACCTGCCAGATACTGGAAATGCAGCCACGGTTACACTGACAGTGAAAAATCAGAGGTTCAGCGGCTCCACGGATGACATTGCAATTAAAAGTGATAAAAATAAAAAAAATATGATGTCCAGAAGGTATCGATTTACAGTGAGCTCAAGTTTCCAGTTTTTGGCGAGTAGTTTGTCTTTAAAGAGGATGGTACGCTCCCAGCAAAGCTACACAAATATTTTCTACCAAGACGGAATGTTTTTCCTAGAGCTGGTATCTAGCTCTATCTGAAGCTCTTGGCTTCAATTCAGAAGAGTATTTTACTAGAAAATTCACATATGCAAAAATGAACCCTTGGGACCTGATCCTATAAATCTCATCAGTTGAAGGGAAGCATAAAGGCTGTGTGACTGTGGAGATGAGAGCCAGATACTATATGGGAGGTCAAAATCCAGTCAGGAAAGGCCAGACAGGGAAGAAACAAAGTTCAACTTCATAATCACGTTGTGGTGTTTCGTTTTGGTTTGGTTTTTAATACTATGTCTATAAAATGCACTCAGAGTGCAGCCTTTCCAAAAACTAAATCAGAGATTTATGTGTTTCAGCCACTACTGATCTGGTCTGAGTAGAACATTGGGAAATAAAAATGTTCTGGCCAATTCAACAGAACGGAATTTGTGTAACCAAAAAAAAAAAAGGAAAAGAAAAAACTTTGCACCCAAACAACTTTGTGTAGTTAGCGCTACTTGACCTGTCGTTAAGCTTTATGCTTCAGAGCTCTGTTTGAGAAACGCTGTCAGACCAAAAGGCTGGAGGTCAGACTGGAAAGCTCCTAACCCTTCTCTGATTTCTGCGGGGAAAGACAGAGCGGAGGCTCAGACTTCCAGGTAAAGGAACAGAAATCCCTCTGGATAGCAGAGAGCTCTGCGTGGGCTGACTGAGCCTGCCCCGCAGGGCTCTGCCCTTGCTTTGCACCGGTTGGGGTTGCTCCGTGCAGCGCTGTGTACTGCAACCACTCCCCACCCCCCCCAAACAGTGCCATAACCAACGCGGAGAGCATGTTGAGAGATGCACCCACTTTCTGCATTGAGGTTTGGGGTTCGCTTTGCCAGGCCACTCCAGCTTTTGGCTTTCAAAAAGAACGATGGTCAGCAGAAGCTGGTCCCCGCAGGAACCTTGAAAGGAGAAGGTCCTGAATATCCCCAGCCACTGGGAGGATGGGAGGAATTGGGGCAAGGTAAGTACTGGTGCGCAACAACAGGAGCCGAGCAACAGGGATAAACTATGCTGGTTCGTGGGGATGTTGATTTTACTGATGCATCTGCCAAAAACATCAGCTGTGCCTGGCCGCTCTGCTCACGCCTGGCAGATGCGCGTGCGTATGGCGCAATAACCAGGAGGAAACGTTTCCTCGGCTCCGTTTCCTAAGTGGCTGGTGGAAAGACATCCATGACGTCCCACGGAGAGAGGCTCCGGGAGAGGCAGCAAGGTACGGGCATGCAGTTGGGAGTTTGCGAGGAGCTCTCACAGGCCAGCCCTATTTTATTTCTGAAGGTCTTATCGCACCCAGGGGACCTTTCCCATGCAGAGCAAGGGTTCAGAGGGCTCGTCCGACTGGCGTGGCTGATGCCCTTAGCTCCCGGGGGTGGTGGCCAGGCGGCCCGACAGCAGGACTGTGAGTAGGGGAGACAGGGAGGAGGCGTGCGCCAGGCTCCGACACCTTTCCCGGGGTGCCGCTGAGCTGGGAGGGAGGGCAGGGAGGCAGACGGAGGAAGTTAGGGATTTCATGGTCTGTCGGTTCGGTTTTAAAGTTTGCTGAAAGGATAACTGCTTGCAGTTAGTCATACCGTAAGCTGCCTTTATATCTTCATTAATTCACCCTTTCTTCCACATGGGGAGGAAGTGTGTAAGAGAAAAAGTGACATGAGGTTGCTTTTTATGTATAAAATTTCCTCTGTATAAAGCTATTCCTGTGAAGATATGAAAAGCAAATTCACAGAGTATCTTTCAGCTGCACAAGACCAGACAGCGAAAGGTGAAGGACACTACCTGTTTTGCCAGTGAAATATTTCTGTCTGCTTTATTAAGTGTTTCACCTCTGTTTCTTTCTACTTGGGGTTAGGTGGGGAGCGGAAAATCCCTGCAAGGAGCAGAAACGCTGTCAAGTGAAAGTGAAAGTAGGGCACAAGCTGATGGGGTTAGGGCAGACTGGGAGCCCTGGGTCTCAGCGGGGGACCTGGCAGGGGTTACCTGTGGAGTGGGAAGAGAGGGAACAGGGATGGGGGAAGCCATGGAGAAAAGCTGCCTGGAAACATCATCCCACCCCACTCCCCTGCTTTCCTCTCCTTTTCCCCTCCGCCTCCTCAAATCCCACACTCCGTATCCACAAACATCAAATTCCTCTGCCACTGCGGCAGCAGCCACAGCAGCACACCGCTGTGCGGAGAGGAGAGAAGGAGCAGCCACATCCAAAAAAAACCTCCCGGGAGCACTGGATCTCAGGAATCTCCTGCACTGGGATTTCAGAGAAAACAAATTGGGAGCACTTTTCTAGGAACAGGCCTGGCTGGTGTCACTGCGTACAAAAGCAACCCTGGTCTGAAGACAGCAGCGGAACAAGCTAAGGCTGCGAGGGAGACTCGGGTCCTTCCTCGCTCTTTGTTCTGGCAGTCCAGGGGCTGCCAAGCCTTAGTTCATAGACCTTTGTACCGTAACCGGCTCTCTAAGGGAGCTCTTCCTTGTAACGATTTCCTCTGATTAGCCTGCTCCGAATACACGTGATCCCTGCCAAAGCATGAAGGGCGTCGGAGCCAGCTAAATGATCATTTCCAGGCTCTGTTTGAATAACGTGTTCAAATTCTTTCGAGCAGCTCTGAGTCGCTCAGCCACAGACCCTTGCAAACTCCGTGGCAGGCGGGTGGGCAGGTCTCCACTGCGTGTATGCGCTCCACGATGGGTTATGTTGTAGGAGCAGCAAAGTGATGAGATCCATAGAAAAATGTTGTCTGGGTCCAAAACTGGGACATTCAAGGGAGGCTGAAGCACAGCAGCAAGGAAAGTAAAATCCTCTGACTTTGAATTATCAGTAGCTACCCATTTCAGGTTCTTCTCTTTGTAGGTGCTGTGTCTCTGGGGTAAAGCACAGAGCAGAGACTTTGCTGGTAAGTGATTTCCCCCCCAAACCCAAGGAATTTGGCCTTGGCTGGCTGCCAGACACCCACCCAGCTGCTCTCTCACTCCCCCTCCACAACAGGACAGAGGAGAAAATAAGGTGGGAAAGTTCACAGGTTGAGATGAAGATAGGGAGATCACTTACCAATTACTTTCATGGGCAAACCAGACTTGACTTGGGGCAAATCAATTTATTGCCAATTAAAATAGATTTGGATGGTGAGAAACAAAAACAAAAATTAGAACAACACCTTCCCCCCACCCCCCTTCTTCCATGGGCTGCAACGTGGATATCTGCTTGCCCATGGTCCTCCACAGGTTGCAGGTGGCCGATCTGCTTCACCATGGTCTTCTCTATGGGCTGCAGGGAAATCTCTGCCCCAGTGCCTGGAGCACCTCCTCCCCTCCTTCTTCACTGACCCGGGTGTCTGCAGGGCTGTTCTCTCTCACATTTTTCATCATTTCTCACTGCTGGGAAGCTCTCTCAAAAGTGCCACCAGCTTGGCTGATGGGGTCTGCTGTGTCCTGCAGTGGATCGGTTGAGCTGGCTGTGTCTGGCATGGGGCACCCCTGGTGTCTCCTCACAGAGGCCACCCCTGCAGCCCATTGCTGCTAGGGCCTGGACACCTGCACCCGGTATAGTACCCATGAGTGGCAGCTTTGCTTTCCTGAACACTACAGGAGGGGTGATGCTAACAGTGCCTTCCAAAGGCATTCTGGCTTCTGCAGCTGATCACACACTGCCTAGAAGCCAAATCTTACCCCTGTTAGCCAGGTGGCACCACTGGCCTTCATGTAACGGATTTATTGGGTCAAGCTGTGTTTTCTTCCAATGTGTATTTTAGAAATATATATTTCAGAGAAAAGCAGTGACCCGGGTCCAAGCCACAGAGGTCAGGGTCATTTCTGTGATGCTTACCATGCTCTGCAAATGTACAAACATCAGTTCCTTGGTTCTGGGTCAAACCTGCACTTCCCAGCTGGAGGATTCTCCTTTTCTGAGTAGTGATTAGACTTCTGACCAGACCAGGGGTACCATGTAGCTTGACAGCTTTGGAAAAGACCCATACTTTAATCTGGATTTCTCTTCTGATGTTAGGGCCGAGGAAGCAGCGAGGCATTGGTCAGTTGGTCAGTTCTTCTGCACCTGCAGTGTCTTCTGACTCATCCATCTGCTCCTGAAATGGCGTATGCTTGGTATTGGCTCGATGATTCTGGGCAGTGGATTGAGTATGGGGAAGAGGTGAGATCCATCTGCTGTTGATGCCAAAAGCTCTTGTTAAGCCATCTTTGGAGAGTTATTTAGGGCACATTGTTCTTCAGCCAGTGCGCTTCACACGTGCCACTGGCGCCCTTGCAGTGCTGCCCTGGTGGATTTGTCTTATTAATTGTCCCTCAAATCAGTACTTCTACTCTGTGAAAGCTTTCAAAGGACTATCTACCTGTGAAAGCGACTGCTTTTTCCAGAGATGATGGATGCCTTTTGGCTGAAGCTGACCACACAGGCTGAAGGCTGCTTTGCTGCTGTTGTGACAAGCCACTGTTCTCTGTGGGGTACCCCTCCATTCCTGAAGAACAAAATGTTTGAAGCCTTAGAGACTTAGTTCAAAATGGCATCCTATGATGGGGGCCCGTGGGGAAATACTGGTATTTCCCCACAGTGTTGCCTAAACCAAAAGACTGGTTTCTAACAGGTATAACAGGCCTCAAGTTGCCCCAGGGGAGGTTTAGATTGGACATTAGGAAAAATTTCTTCACAGAAAGGGTTGTCAAGCACTGGAACGGGCTGCCCAGGGAAGTGGTCGAGTCCCCATCCCTGGAGGTATTTAAAAGATGGGTAGACGAGGGGGACATGGGCTTAGTGGTGGGATGGCAGTGCTAGGTTAATGGTTGGACTTGATGATCTTAAAGATCTTTTCCAACCTAAATGATTTGATGATTCTATAAATCAATAATTTCCTTGTTCTTTCTATAGCATCCAGATCACTGCTCTGCCACGGTAACATCTGCAGATCTGGAGAAGAAATTTCTAGCTGACCGCAAAGGCATTGTGTCATTCAGGGCTGGTTCTCAGAAGTATGAGTTAAACTTTGAAGGTGAAGTATCTCCCTGTTTTAAGTTCATTACACAGCGTAGCTGAGTCTAAGGTAGAGAATTCTTCATACAGAGCTGTCACCCTGTGTCTGGGTTTCTTAGAAAGGGTCTTTTTCCTCCTCTAAGTTTTCTCCAAGCAGAACTTGAGCAGTATGTACATTTCCCTGCAGTTTTGAGATGCCCCACTCGAGCTTCTAAACGTGTGTATCTATAGTCAAAAAAGCATCTCTGACAATATTGTATATTCAGAAGAAGAGCTAAAAGAAACACTTTAAGGCATCTGGCTTATGCATTTGGGTTTAATCAACTGAAGAGGAGAAATGAGAAAAGAAAAAAAAAAAGCACTGAAAAGTCAAATGGTGAAGTGAGCCCATGGTAGGCATCTTGCAAGCTACTTATGGGGAGAGAAAGCACACAGCTCAAGCAAAGGAAAATTTAGGGCTGGTTGCACAGAGAGAGAATGGGAAAATGAGAAATGCTTTTCTGTTTCTAATTTATTTGCACATCTTAAAATTCCTGTTAGCTTTCCAAACTTGAAATCTTTTTCCTGGCATGAATAAAGAGAGTGGTGTTTAAGGGAGGAAACAATGGATAATTAGCCATGTCACACAGCATGCGCCCCACGATATTGTTACAGGACCGAGAAGAGAGGGCAGGCTTCCCTCTCAGCACCACGTAACAATCCCGCGCTGCCAGGAAAGCCAGATTTATGGCCTCCATCGCACTGAAAGCTCTTCCCTGCTGTAGGCCTGACACCAGATGTGGTTTTCTCTGGCCGACAGCCTGGATGCGAATGCATGTGCAGGTGCAGTTGTTGGTTGGTTGCCTTTGGGCTTCACAACCTGTGCTAGCAGGTGGTTGGCCTTGCTGATCTACAAGCAGAAGTGGCACGAGTGGGAATGGTTTTGAAGTATGGAGTGGGGTGGATGTGGTAGAGAGAGCACCACATTGCGGTACTCAGGGCTACATCCTCTTTTACTTTTTCTAAACACATAAGAGTGCATCCCTGGACAATAAATTATGTAATTATTGAGTCATCGTGTTTTTCTTTCAAGACATGGTCCAAACAAATTTGATCTATGAAACTCAAAGAAAAGTTGCCCGGCTGCCAAAATTTCTGTCCTCTCAAGGTGGACAAGACAGAAGGTAATATACATTCATTATTTAATAACGTCTCTAGATGACAGCACCTTTCTGCTAAGAAGTTCCTCCTACCTGTCTAGAGTTCAATTTTAGATTTCTTAAATTCATTTTTAGATACCTTTTGCTGATTGGTTTAATAGCAAATTTTGCGGTGACAGTATTTGTAAATTATGCAACGCTTCTGTGAAGTGTGCTGGAGGGATGTTTGGGGGCAGTCTCAGGAAGCTGTGAGAGAGCCCTAGAGTAGATTTGTTCTCTCTGAGAGAGCAAGAATACATAGGGCTGACGCAACTGTGCCAGGAATTTTTATTCCTCGATTTATCCCCCAACAATACTTAATGAGCTGTGCACGGAGTAGGAGCAAGGGACTGCCAGTCCCGAGAACTGTGGAGCAGATAGATGCCATCCCCTGGAAAGCTGAAGAGAAAATAAAACACAGAAGCAGATTCATCTACATGAAGTGAACTGGATGCACTTTTTAGGGATACCCTCTGTCGTGGCTTTTTTAAAGGAAGTTCAGAATTCGAGCATGTCTGCCATAAAAGTTAGTTGTGCTACTGCTTTATTTTAAAAAGAGCCACCTTTGCTTCAGAACCTCACCAGCAGGAGGTGCCTTTGAAGCCAAGGGTTCAGTTTAAGGGCTGGTTCAACCAAGGGTGCGTTGGTTCAAAAAGAAAAACTGTAGCTCCTGAACGGATGCTAATGTTCCTGTTGCCCGGGTTGAAACACACGTGCCAGGAGAACGTTAGTGCTGGAAGTTGTTAAGCACTGATGGGTGCAGCAGTGTCCTCAGGGCACAACTGTCCACCCACAGCCTCCTGACAGACTTGGTCCTGGGGACAGGTAGAGGCAGGCCACCTACCTGGACAGCAATTTAGAGATGAGTAGCCTCGTGGTGGGGAGAGGGCTCCTGCTCCAGTTTCCTAGAGGTTCAAGCAGCACGCGTGGAGGGCAAGCTGGGAGCAGTTGTATAAACCACCCGTCTAGGAGCATGTTGCTTCTCATTTGAAGCTCTCCTACCAGGGTCTTGACCTGCCAAGAGGTGCATTGTTACCACTAGGATGCGTGTGGAAATTTAAACTGGAGAAAGGTATAATGGTTATGTGGAAAGTAAAAGAAAAAGAGAAATCCAGGGATACCTGAATGCTGCTGTAGAGACAGCGTCTAGATCCTCGGGAAGGGGGATTTGGTTGGGAGTATCGTAGACTGACCTGCTCCTTTTTCTTTTCTGCAGCCAAAATATGACTCTATCACATTTTGTCTGTCCTCCACAATGGGACCAATCTGCGCTGCCTGATATCGGGTTCAAGGTAGGTCTTTCCACCTCTCCAATGAGTAGGGCGAACTGTGTCCTATGCTGATTTTTTCTGAGAACGTGACACAAGGCACTTGAGATGTTCCCAGCTTTTAAACATGTCTTATAAAATAAGCAACTATGAGGTGGAACAAGACTGACAGTTTCACATTCAGCATAGACCTGTGTCTCCTGGGAGGCTCTCTGAGATGCCCTACATAGACCACGCAGGATAAGAAAAGCCCTTTTGGCCGTTACTGGTCTGACCTGTCCCTTGCGCTCTCCCAAGGCACCAGATCCTCTGATAAACTGGATGAATTACATCTCAAGGGGATGTTGTAGTGTTGCCTCCATTGATTTGAGGGAAAATGTTTGCTGCGGTAAAACTAGGGCTTAGCCCTGTAGGGAAGGAGCTAGGAGGAGCTAGGGTGTCAAATTAAGGTGAAACTGATATTCACTTTTCTCCAGCCTGAGTACTGCTGTGCATTTCATCTTTAGGTTACTCTGAAGTAAAAATAATCTAGATGTGGAGGTGTGTCCACCGGAAGAAGCTCGTGTGGGATTGCATTCATTTCTCTGTCAGTGCCTGCGCTTCCAGCACGGGGAACGGGGGTGAAGGTGGGGAGAGAGTGGTTGACTGGAGAGACAGGAGAATCATAGAATCATAGGATCATTTGGTTGGAAAAGACCTTTAAGATCATCAAGTCCAACCATTCCTGTCCACTACTAAACCAGGCCACTGAGCAGCTTGTCCACCTGTCTTTTAAATGCCTTCAGGGATGGGCACTCGACCACATCCCTGGGTAGCCCATTCCAGTGCCTGGTAACCCTTTCAATGAAGATTTTGTTCGTAATATCCAATCTAAACCTCCCCTGCTGCAACTTGAGGCCATTTCCTCTTGTCCTATTGCTTCTTACCTGGGAGAAGAGACCGACCCCCACCTCGCTACAGCCTCCTTTCAGGTAGAAGCTTGTGATTTTAATGCCAGGGCTTTTCCTCTGATGTGAGGAGGTTGATGAGTCCTTTGAAAGGACTGGGAGTTGTTACTATCAGTAATAACTTGGTTTTGGTGTTTTAAAAATTTTCAGTTGGTACAGCTCAGTTACTCTTCCCATGAATATGGAAAAATTAAGAGACTGTTTGAGAAGACGATGAAAGATTACTGCATCCACCAGCTACAGAGGATCCAGAACCCAACACTTTGGCAAGTTTTTCAGTGGTTTGTATCTATTTTATTTAATTATCCTGATGGTAGCAGGAGACTGGTGTTTCCTGATCTGTTGTCCTCTGTACTCTGCATTAGGAGCTGTCAAATCCAGCAGCCCAGCAGAGGTGAGACTGCCACGTATCTGTGTGCCCGGGTCCAGCTGGTAGCAAGGTTCAGCACGTGTTCCCGGTAGGCGCACACACACAAAACATATGAATATGCACATAGCTGGCCACAAAAACCAAGAACGGACAGCACAGCACTCATGCAATCATAAACAGCGCCAAAGGCCTCATCTTGTTCCCTTCCAATGGCTGATGGGGATGAAAGCCAGATGGCCAGACAAGCCCACTGACCAGACAGTTGCCAGTTTATACATGACCAGCTCTTTTTACCCTCTTATCCATCTATTTTTGCATGTTTGTTCCTCCTCAGACCATCTTGATCCTTCCCTTCTCCCACCTCTAGTTCCTCTGTTAAACATCCATTATAAGTCTCGTGCAATCCCCGAATGCTCTT